CCCCAAAACCCCAAAACCCCAAAACCCCAAAACCCCATCATGTCACTATTACTTGAAATAATATGATTTTGAGATAGGAATTATGATGAGGTTGAGCTCAAATCTGGAGGATATCATCTACCTTCAATGAGAGCCTGAACCTATAGCAAATCAGAAAAGCTGACAGAGATTTTCTCTTACCAACTGAAAGGATCTAACCATCTTAGACATTTATAATAACTTAGGAGGTGCCTTCTTCTGGCTTTCTGAACAGTTCCCTTTGGTTAGTGCAACAGGCTTGGATGAGTTCTTTTTGACATGAAAATTCAGCCTCCCATTTTTATAAAGCGATTGATCATAGGATCAATTTACATCTTTTGCCACCTTCTTTTCAAAAGTCATGATTTTATTCGACCTTACTTTGAAGCAATGAGGGCTCCGAGGTATTTTCAGTGAGGGCGAGGAATCCTTGTTCTTCATTAACTGGATAGTCTTATTCTGCTTATTCTGAGCATTGTAGTAAGAGTTTTTATAGGTTCTAAACCATGAAGCAAATCTTTACTTTTGGTGTCAAAGGAGAGATTTCCTAATCATCAAATTGTTTGAACTATTCTTAGTTGTCTCGCTATATTCCTCAGGTCGGATCTTTGGCATTTTTTGAGTGTACTGCTTGATTGTCTTCTTGTTCCTTCCAGAGCGGGTTTCAATTGAAATCTTTGTGTTTGGAGAGCTGCTGAATTGTTTACCATATTCTATAGAAATTTGCTCATATATGCTTACTTTTGATATTTTTCATCCGAAAGTTCTTCATTGGTTGGTAAGACTTATTTCCTTTTTGCTCAAGAATCCTAAAGAGTGAGCCAGCAGGCTTACTTTGAGGAGTTTATCATCTTATGAAGACCACTATCGCTATTTCAGTCTTTCCGAAGAGTAAACTTCTTCTTCCGATCTACTGGGATGTCAATTGATAGCGTGTTATTTGAGACTGTTAGGAATCAGGTGTTCTTCCCGAGGAGGAGAGTAACTAGCCATATGTTCTAGATGAGGGATCTGCTTGGTCTTTAGATTCAGCACTGGGATACTTTGAGCGAGATGCTTCTCATTCTCGGGTTTTACCTCCTCCATTTGAGGTTTAGTATTGAGTGACGATTCATAAGGCTTATTTGTAGATAAGATTTCGTTATTTTTGATAATCCCTTCACTAGCTTCATCTTCTGATAAACTTTCAGTATTGGGACTTCCATGTTTCTATAATATTAAGCATATTGCTTACATGATTGCTCCATCTAAGTCTTCCTCCATTACTTTTATTTTGATCAAGTATGGACCTGTTTACCTATATCCATGTTTTATTTTTGTGAGTTGGGAAAGTATCGAACTCTTAAATTGAGAAATAATGCCTAACCTTTAAGTCTCAGCCGATGGACCTGTAATGAGGAACGCTTTTCATTGGTATCTTCTCTACACTTCTGGATGTGATCGACAGATTATCATCACCTCTCTCACTACTTACAACATTCACTTCTACAGTTGGAACTGATGAAAGGCAGAAGTGTTTGCTGAGGTCATAAAGAACGACAGAGTCAGGGTTCATTGTCCTAAATCATTACGGCTTTCTCCTACTTTCTACCGCTGTTTTTGAGGCTCTTTGCGGACCCTCTACTTTGGTTAGCCTTGCCTTTATTTTTAGATTTCTTAGCCTTTATGGTCTTTTTGCTATCCTTCTTTTTATTTTTGATACCAAAGAAATTAGTTAATTCTTTAGTTTTATTTTTCAAAAGATGTTCTCTCGGTCATGTTCCCTGATTTTACTTGGATTGGGCTCCTTTCTTCAGAGGAAAGGGCGATGTAATCTCGAGCAATAAATCTGGATCCTTTAGCGTCTAATTTCCCGGAATCACATCTTTTCCTCCCTGGCATGAGCTTGAGGCTTTGGCCAAAAATTAATGCTTGGGATTGGTTCTCCTACAAATTATCATGTGAGGCTTACTACTCTAGGAAGCTTCTTGCTGCTTTGGTACTCTATTTTTAGTCTTTTTACTTACTTTCAGGTGTCTGGGTCTTCTTTTCATAATCCTGGTCTAGGAAATTTACTTGTATGGACGACTCTATGTTCTTAGTTGCAACAAATTACCATTTTGATCATCATCAAACTGAGAATCTCAATCAGAATCCTCATCAAATGCTTCAAGAAGATTGAGGATTTCCATATTCTGCTTGAATGTCAGGGGTTTCATTTTCATTGTTTTGTGGCAGATCTGGCTTAGTTCATCCGACATGCTTTCACTCTCACTTGGGGTTTGTCTATATTTTAACAAAAGATATTTACTCATCAGAGACTTTTCGTCCAAAACTGGCATATTTTATAGTACTGTTCGCTTTGTTGGTAGATTTCAGTAAGGAGTAATAGCTTAGAAACTCCTTTATTTCCATTGTTTTCTCCTCGTCACTGTCTTGCAGGAAGGTATGGAATAGCTGAGTTTTGACAAAATTTGAATAAAAGTCATAACTTTGCTTATTGAAGAGTTTTATGTACCTAGCATACTCGAATTCTCCATCAACTTGGTTCCAAAACTCTTGGTAATTAGACAGAAGTAGAATCATTACGTTGATAAAGATCTTCTTAATCTTCATATTGTACTCTAGGATTACCATTACTTGGAGTTTGACACTTTTGTCGGACTCATCTGTGAGATCGAGATATCCGTCGAGTCTGAAGTCTTTATTAGTAAGAACTTCTTCTTGAAGTTCGTTTAGCTTCTCGTTGAGGTAATCGCTTTGAGATTTTGGAAAACTGATCTCGTTAAGCCAAGTAATCTCTTCTGTATCAATATTACAGATCATTCATTCTTCCTTAACGTTCGCTACTTCATAGTTTGGAAGAGAGTAAAATTTAGATGGGCTGCAGCCAATGATTACTGGAAAAGGTGCTCCAGCAAGTTCGGCTAGTCCTTCCTGTACATCACCAATTGTGGTATATCAAGAGGAGTCGAATGGGTAAATAAGCTTGAATAATGACTCGATAATCAAAGCGGCTCTTCCAACTTTCTCGGTCACAATGATGATTTTAGTCTGCAAAAGAAGAGCAAAGAATAAATTTACCAATCAGTTTCGGGGTACATAGTTATACACAATGATAGTGTGATTTATATTATCAGGGTATAAAGGGAAAGATATACTCTTTAGTCGAGACTCTTTACTCTCAATAGGCATGCTACTTCAATTGCTCCGACGAAAATCTTCAACTTCCTTCTGATTATTAAATCTATTCTCATATTCTCTTATCAAAAACAGCAAAATCCCTTGATTTAAATCTGAACCAGGAGATTTTTGGGATAATTTGTTCGCGAAAATGCTAATCAAAGGAGCTTTAATTTCTGTTCCCGCCTGCTTATGGGTACAAGTTGCTCAAAATAGCTTCAGCATGGATTCTAGCATAAATTTGCCGAATCTGATATTCCTGATGGAAGTCTCAGCAGTAAGGTCTCCTTCACTATCTTGGTCGGAATCAATTTGACCAAAATCAAAAGCCAGATCAACATCGCTATTGAGGATGACCTTCAGCCATGCGTTTATTGGAACTGGAAGATAGGTTTGTTTGACACAAGACAAAGGCAGGCAGATAGGACTATCCCAGTAGGAAGTTTGCTAGACTTTCGGTTATTCGTTAAAACAACTGCCTCTTCTAAATTCTCCCCGTTCATGAGGATATGGAAGTTGCATGTTGTCATATACCTTTTCTCTCCATGCATATCTTTGAGGGTATGAAAGTTTTCATACTTGCTATAGCGCGGATTAAAATACAGCGCAAAAATTACGACACTAAATTGACTAAACTGAGGGTGAAATGTTGGCAATGACATTACATTAAGGTATCGGCACTTTTATTAGCTTGAACATCTGTCTTCCATATATTCCCAAATACTTTCTCCTTTATCCCTGCAGTGAGCCTGTCAAGCAGCATCTCTGAAGAATTGTTTCTGAATACTTCGCACTTGTTCGGAAATATTAGATTATGAACAGCTTTATTGTTTAGGAACTGGAAGTCAGGATCGGATTGGCCGTTAATTTCAGAAATACTTCATGCACTACAATCTGAGTGGTGAACTTTGAACAGTTTATACAATTTCGGATCGCATTCCAAACTTTTACCGGACTCAGTGAGAAGCTCAGTTATGGAATCATGGCCATTTTTTTCACAAATTTCTGAATAATTGCCATGATAAATTGCGAACAGCTACAAAACTTTATTAAATAGTTACCTCTTTTCATTCTTTGTTTGGTTCCTAAAATAGAAATTTTATAAAATGCATATTTAGGGTGAACAAAAGATCGTAAGTAGCCTGATTTAATTTTACCAGAAAATGAAGAGATTTCACATGAAAATTTAGATGGCGCATATTGCTTCTACGAAGCAAGGATAGGATTAAGATAAAGCAGCAAATTCTGTCTTGAAATAATTTAATATCTCATTTCTTCTTAGATTTTTGAATAATTTGCTTAGAGTAATTCTCAGACAAAATGTACTATCCCTTTCAATTATAAGCCCTTGGTACCAAAGAATGACAGTTTGTCTATTTCAAGTTACATAGTTTGGCTAAAGAAAAAGCTACATGCAAGGTTGATATACACTATGCCTCCAATTCAGCATGAAAAAAAGGGAGTTTGGTAGTTTATTCTATCTATTTTCCCTGAGATTTCTTGTTTAAAGTCCAAAATAAGCAGTTACCATTTTTTTGCGAATGCTCTTGATGATTTATTATTAATTCAAATTAAAGTTATTATAATGGGGTTTTGGGGTTTTGGGGTTTTGGGGTTTTGGGGTTTTGGGG